TTTTTGATTATTAAAACCGAAATTTACGATATTCATTTGGTAATTTTTCCGTTCATATGATAACATTCGGATATTATATGAATACAAACCGGACATCATATGATAACAAACCGGATATTCTGGTTTTCAAAACACAGTTCTTATTGCCACACATTTAATAAAAAAAAATGAACATTAATTTTAACCGAATAAATGGATTTTATCACATGCTCTAAGGTATCATGATAAAATTATCAAATTTGATCACATTTACCATATTTTATCACTCATTATGAAACCATATTTCATTGTTAATTTTACAAAAACCATTACCAAAACGCCTTGGTAAAAATTACCGAGCTTTTTGGTGTTTCAATATAGCCAGAAACACTGTAAAATTTAATAGAAATTGGTAGTTTTAACACTACTTTATTTCTCAGTTAAAAATCGTATAAAAACTTTTTTTTCCAATGCCCACCCGATTGACTCTCGTTTTTAAGGTATCAGTAGGGCAGATTTGTTGGCCACTCTTTCAGGGGTACCATATTAGGTGGGTCAACGTTGCTCCTACAGTAAGGGTAGATAGTACAGAGAATGAAAAAACATCCATGCCTTGTCCGGGATTTAAACCCACTGCCTTTCTGGAGTGAGGTCAGTTCTCTGACCACTACACAGTCCGGTCGGCTATAAAAACTTAGTACATTAAATTAAAATATTTCATTTGACAAAATCCTTTAAGTTCTTATTAAAACAATCTTAAACAATATGTCCCAAATAGAAACATCCATAATTTAAATTTCTGGTTTACAGAAATGCCACGAATTAAGAATATTCAATTAAAAAAATAATAATGTAGAATATTACAGCAAATGTTTTTTTAACTTGGTTCAAAAAAAATTTTTTGGTCCTAAAAAATATTTTTGTCACATTTCTATTTAAGCCATTCTAATTTATGAATCATCATTCCTATACACTTATTTTACGGCATGCATGTAAAAAAAAGTTAATTAAATATACAATTAACTTCTTCAATTTACGAAAACGCGTATTGCAGCCAACGCTAATGTTTAATTATTAATTTACGCAAACTTGCATTTAGAAAGAGAAAAATAAAGGTAAAAAAGTCACTGGTTAAGCCATTAATATTAAGCTAAATGCATAAAAGCGTTCAAAGACAGAAAACAATTTTGGTTTTGTAATTTTTACGAATCGTCTAAGAATAATTAAGAGAATTTTTTTAATGGCTTGCTGCTTTGAATGTAAATATTAATTTTTTTTAGTACAATTGGAGTTTTTAAAAGGCAACGCATTTAAATTAGAACATACCTTAAGTATTGCGTAAAATTTGTTTATCTAAGTATTTAAAGTTTGTGTCGTATTTAAAGTTTGTAATCGAATGTTGAATCAAAGTTTGTTAAACTTTGATACAACATTTGATTCAAAAATAACATTTTACAAATATCTGAAATAATTCAACATAATTTTAATGCTTTTTTTATTTCTAATTTTTAATAAAAAGGGGAAGGCTTGAAAGGAAAATTTATTGTTAGTTAAAGTTAACAAAAGATTTGGTCAATTAATTCAATGAACACATTTACATTCTTTTTATTTATTAAATAATGTTAATTTAAAGAATTTTGATAAATAAAAGCCCTTAAAATTATTAAGAAAAATTAATTTTCATTTCGTAAGAGAAATGGGCATGTTTGATACACTTCAGCGCGGAACAGAATCGATATTTTAGTGAGAAAAGTTTATCTACAGGGTCTCCCAGAAATGTCGATACAAACTTCTTGAAGAAGTAGGGAAGACACATTATAAAGATTAAGAAATACCTAAGAAATGATTACCGGAAATGTAATCATATGCCGCTAAGGGCGCTTTCCTCTGAACTGCTACATCGGGGGTCTCTTCCAATGTCAGGAACTTTTATTTTTCTAAAGTTTTTGTTTTATATTAATTGTTGCCATAAACTGCTTTCAAATAGGTACTCTATTTGCTGTTTTATCGCAAATTAATGATTTGGTGACTAACTGAACCATTTCGCCTAATCATTAAATTATGACACAACAGCATTTCTGAGTCTATCTTAATGGAACTTTTGATAATAATTAAGAGTTGCATAGAATTAACATGAAATAAAATATTTCAGAAAAATAAAAGTGCAAGTTCCAAGGCACATAAACAATATTTCCATAATAGCAAAGAGCCCCTAACAGCGCAAGGTGACGTTTCCGGAATTCTTAATCTGTACGATGCTCTCTACTTCCCCTAGAAGGTTGTCGCAACACTTACGATATTATATATATACATATGAAGGATTAATGAATAAAAAGGGAAAAAGAAAAAATTCTAAAAATAAAATATTAAAAAAAAAAGAATTAAAAAAAATAATTCTAAAAAGCCAGAAAACAAAAAACTTAAAAGATATAATCACTTCATCATCTCACACGATTATATCCGCACAAGAGCTGATGAAAAGATTATATCTTTTCAGTGTTCCGGCTTTTTAATATTATTTTTGTAAGTTATTTTTTTCAATCTTTTATTTTTACAATATTTTTTTTCTTCTCTTTTTATTAATCTTTAATTTTGTCCATGTTCTATGTTTTTGACTTATTTTATGACTTCTATATACTTGCAGCCTATGCGCAGTAAATAAAGCTTATTAATGTTCTTAAATTTCTCTTTTTTTCTTTTTATCATTTTTGTCTTTATTGCGATATACATATATTTGACAAAGAATTATCAAAAAATTTCGCACGAAGTGAACATCAGAGTTTTCGGAAGAAACGTCACAATGAAGTTGAAATTATTAGAAAAACCATCAAGTTATATCCTACACAAAATAAAGCACCCTGTTCTAGTACCCCAATAACGTTTCGTTAGATATAGTGCGACTTTTTTTTTTATTTAAATAATTTTCGTTTATCAATGTATAGCTGCTTTTAAATACTGCATTTTTTGAAACATTTTCAAAATATACATTAAAATTGATAATAACATAAAAATTTTTATATAAACAAGGGTGCAATGGTGTAATTTGTTGAAGCAAGGCTTCTATCTTTAATTATGTGCTTTGGTCCAAACAACGATCTTAATTTAGGCAAAGAATAATTTAAAATAAAACCATACAAATTTCCATTTTGTGATTCCATGCTAATAATTTTATAAAGAATAATATTTCTTTAAAAAAACAGCTCATGTTAAGAAAAGTGCCTTTGAGAAAATATTTTTTGATCCTAAAATGCAGAAGGTTTAACGCAAATTTCAGAATACATATCATTAGTTTAAAAGAGCAGATAGGTGAAATTAACAGCATTTAATCAGAGATACCATGACTAAAACATTTCCTGTTTTTAACCAAAAAAAAAACATATCATTGTTGATATAATTAATTATAAATAATATCATTATTCATTACAATATTATATAATTTTTATTATAACTTAAAATAACTGAGAGTTCATTAAGAACAATTATACAATAACTCCATTTTCAAATACATGAACAAATATTGTATTTATAATAAATATAACTGTGGCAGTTGGGTGAAATGAAATGATTATGATACGGGTCTATTGGCATTAAGACATTAGACTTTAAAAAAGAAAAAAAAATTAAATCTTTGAATGATAGCAAATATTAATATGGTAGAAAAATCAAATTATTTATTTAAATGAGCTGCTATGATTAAAATTTGAATAGAAATCGAAGACATTATCGAACCTGTCGTTAAGAAATATTTATACAGCTGATTTTTATGCCATCAACCATACCATTTACGAGTGTTGTTTCAGAGAAACACTTTATTTATTTTAAAATAGCAAAAAAATATTTATTTACTTATAAACACATCCCCGCATTAAAACAGTTAGAGATATTTCTCTCTTACCAACTATTGTGTAAAAAAATTGCATTTTCATTATTAATAAATAAGGTGTGAAATCGCTATTAAGTTTAACAGAACATGTGTTATTGTGTAGAGTTATTCTGATTTTTAAAGAATTCATGTAAGAGTTATTCAAGAAAATTCGCCAAAATTAAAAATGCAGATCTGATCTTTATTGATTGATTGATTTTTTCAATTAAATATTACTCTAATTTAAGTAATTGTAAAAATTGCAGCATTAATTAAGTCATATGGAAAAGATGATTTTTCTTAAAATGTTTTTCAAATTTCAGAATGTAAATAAGTGGAAAAAAAAATCCATTTGTTCACTTTGCTGTAGTTACATTGAAGCCAAGAACTCTTTTTTTAAAAATGTGTATATTTTTTTATGCATGAAAAAATGGAATACATAATTTTATTTAATTTAAATTTATTCGAAAAAATACGCAGTTTTTGTAAATATTTTGTGTTAATCATTTGCACAATACTTCGATTTTTACCAGATATATTTATAATATATATATGATACAATAAAAGCAAGATGCTGTAAGAAAAGTATCGTTTAACGATTTCTCCTTTTTATTTTAAACCAAAATTACATCTAGGTGTTAAGAGAAAAATAAAAAATAAACTATGATCACTTTGTAAAGAAAAGGCATTTCTGCGATAACTTTCCGGATTTCATATTTGACAAAAAATGTACTTTGCATTAAAAATTGAAAGAAAATTCTTCCACAGAATTTTGGAAAAAATGGAAATATTGAACAGTTAAATTTTATTTCAATGGTTCATAAATTAGCTTATAAGAGTTAGAACAAAAATATTTTTAGAATATTTTTAGTAGGTAGAATTTGAAATTTTTTTATCAATAAGAAAAAACAAATAATCGGCTATTTTTTTATATCAGGATTTTTTCCTATTTATTATATTAATAGTTTAAACAAAGTATTTCCTTGAAGGCAAAATAATTATTTCCGAAATTACACTTTAATAAGTTTTCTTTAAATAATTATTTTTAAAATAATACATGGATTTAATTTTTTTAAAATCTAAAATGACGAATTTTCCAAATAGTATTTTCCATGGTGTTTTAAATAATATATAGTAAATATATAATAGTTTTACTTACCCATTTTTTCTTGACAAACCACAGTTGAGAAGTTAAAAACACATATAAAATAGAATCCCAAGCAAAATAAGTAAAAATTTTTTGCGTATAGTTCCATTCTCATTAAAAACATGATGATTATGATGGCTCAATATAAATATATTAGATTTTTCTTAAATATTTAGTCACACAATCTCATTTTTCGTCAACCCGTAACTGCTATAGTAATTGTTGGAATATTCCCAAACAAATATCAGAGTACCAGGATAAGAACATTTTTGTATTGGGTTAAAATGTCAACACGATCATGAAGCATTTACTATTTGCTTAAAGTATAGTTAAAATAAATAAACTCGCAAAATATCATGTCACTGTTACGTCTGTCCGCAATCTCATAATCCAGTTCTTTTCCTTACAGGACAGGAAAAAAAAATCATAAAAAAGTCGTCTGCGAAATCATAAATTAAAAACTTTAACTTTAAAATTCAAAAAATCGTTTGCAAAATTGAAAACAATCGCTTGGAATCAAACTTCTTTTCCCAAGTTAACTGTAAACACGTGAGCTATAACTTTCGCCCATGAAAGCTGCCGCATTTACTTCCTTCCTCAAGGAAAGAAAGTTAACTGCTGCTTCTTCCGCTGAAGATGAAAAACAGGACCTGAAAAACCCTGAACTTGAGAGTGAGAGAGAGTCACGTGACTTGAAGAAAGGTGCGCTTTTGTTTATTACTTTTTGAAGGTCAACAGCCGACACCGCCGCGTAGAAAGTGTCAAGAGCGGCTTCAGACTTCGCTATGGACCGCTGATTTTACGCGCACCGCTCCTTCAATCATAAAGGCAGATTCCATGGACTGCTTCGTCCGCCAAATCGTTCGAAACACCGTTTGGTCTCGGAGATGGGTTTGTGAGCCGGCGGGACGTTTACGTTCTTCGATTTGTTGTGCAACGCCCCCCGACGGGTGCGTGGAAACATTGATATAAATATATTCTATTTCATAGGAATTTCCCAATGTGAATATCTGATTCTTCGAGAAAAAATTCATAACAGTTATTTGTAAAAAAAATAAAGGAATAAAATAGATATTTAAATTTAACAAACTTTCACCCTAGTTATGAAAACCGGCGTGATTGAAATTGAGGAGACTCGAGAAAATAGGTTTCAGTCCCCCAATTATAAAATAATAAGGCTAAAGTATTGTATTACACAATTCAACGTAGATTAAACTTATTAACGACAAAATACAACGTAAATAATTACATATATATTAAGTTAAAATCTCACAAACGTGCTATTTTAATGTTTTGTTGCAAGCTATTGATTTTACTGTAGTTTTTGTTTTTTTCTTGTTTTTTACTATAACCATCACAAAGTAATTCTTCTTAAAAGCTAGAGTCTGACAGAAGACAACTATTTTAAATAAAGGGGATTTTATAGTTTCTTTTCCTATTTTTTTTAAAGGTTCAAATTTTTTCCTCGAGTTATTTCTTCTTTTTTTTTTCAAATAAAAAAAGTTTTTCTTCTGCTTTGTAAATTTTAAGTTCGAAATTTATTGAAATAATATTGTTTAAAAGGACTAAGTATAAATACTAAATAAAGATCAAGGCAAAAAGCGGTCTATGTCTATGAGAATTGATTCTGAGAGAAATGATTTTCAAGGCTTGAACTTTCAGGTGCAAGTATAAGATTAAAATCACAAAACTAAAAATATGCACTAATATTACTAGTATTTATTTACGTCCACTATTTAAACAAAATTTATTCAACAAAATGTGCTCTTTTTGATGCTGAAAAAAAATTTAAAAATCAGATTATTCCGTTACAAAAACTTTTTTCTTTTCTTTCTCTTTTATTCCTTTTTTCTAATTTCTTCCCCTATCTATGTTTTCACATTAGTATCAACACCTTTTTTTCACAATACTTTTCTTTCTTCCTTTTGTCTATGCATGGACAGGAACCATTTTCCCCTAGCTCAGCCCACCTTCGTTGTGTAATAACTCTCGGAGAGCATCAATTTTTCCCGGTGATGGGCTTATCAATACTTAGTTATCCTCAAAATGCGACAGATGGCGATCCAATCGTCATTTTCGTGAAGAATGGAGGTAAGTAGGCACTTTCTTTGCGTCGCACTAGACCTGCACATTCGCGAAGAAAAACCGTTCTACTCACTCGGTTTTCGAATAAAATCCACGGGTAGATGGAAAAAATAACGTTTACAAATTGATTCCGTTATAATTATCTCACATAATTCAGTATTAATGTAAATGTATTTTGCATGCGTTTCACGTTATGAATAAATAAATAATTTAAACACTTATAAATTAACTGAACAAAATTTAAACTTTGTGCATTCGTGTATTCGTGCATTTCGTTTTTAAATTTTTTACTATTCATTAGATAAGGCTTTTCTTTTCTGTTTATTTATCATTTATTTACTTTATTCATTAATTTTTTTCATTATTTATTACTTCCATAAATAAATAATTTTTTACTGTTTATATTTTCATTTTTCTTTTATTGTTTTTTTTTCTCGCAATTTCACAATTTTATTAAAATAAAATATTATTGTTCATCATTTCTTCTTCCCTTGCTGATGAAAATGTTTTTCTGTGTTGCATTGGCTCTTTGTTTATTTATTCAAGAAAGTTGTTGTTAAAGCAGAATCTACTTTCATTACAAAGAAGAAAAGCTTTTTAATGTATTAAATATTGTACTGTTAAACTGCTTGAAATGTGTTTATCCTTTCTAAAATATTTTTTAACAAAATTCCCCAATAATAAAAATTTTAAAAATAAACAGCGATCTCCGTAGTTTTTGTTGTTCTTGCAATAAATCTCATAACATTTTCATAACAGAGAAAACAACTTCTTGAATTTTGTAATAGTGGAACAATTTTTTTAAAATTATATATAATTAGAAAACACAAAATAAGTAGGAAAAATAAATAAGCATAATAAAACTACTGCATCAGGCATACAAAATAGTTCAATGCACTTTCAAACATATTTCAAAAACACAATCGCAAATAACTTCCTTAATATTTTTCTAGAAAATAATACTTCACAGGTTGCTTTATTTTTCATCACAAAAGTAAACTTCTTTTTTTTTTTTTTTTCAAAAGTAAAACATCTGTTTTATTTTCTTGAAAAACTTGCTTTTTCTTTAGTATAATTTCACTGAAAAAGTAATTTGTAAGTGCAATTTTTACCCAAATTATACCATCGATTTCTTTATGTATGGATAAATGCCTCCCATCGAAATGGTGGAGGTTCAGTCTTTGACAATCTTGATTTCTGATTCGATTTCAATGCTAGAGGCTGGGTGTATGATCGAATTGCACTTTCTCTGATCATGAAAGGACACCTCAATCACGGAGCCTTCACATTTAACTAATCGGAGGGGAAAATATGCAGCTACTTCCAGAATTATAATTTAAAAGATTTCTTCAAAATGAATAAAATTAAAAAAAAAAAAAAAAAAAAAAAAAAAAAAAAAAAAAAAATAGAAACTAGATAATTACATAGAAACGGGATGAAATAGAAATGCACAGTTTATTACGTTCTGCTTAAGTAAAATTAAATGAGCTTCCCTGGCCTAACGGTATCTCCCACCAAACATTCAGTAGCACGGAGTTAGTGGGTTCAAGTCCCACCGTAATCCTGGTTGTAACCTTGAGCTGTTTTTCGCTGAATTATGATATTTGTTCTTCTGCGTGACACAGGCTTATAAGCCGTGCTTATGTAACTGAACATTCATACCTGCATATGTATGGGCATCAGTAAAATAGTTTAGCAATGTATATATAACCCCTACGAATTCAAAATTGGTTACAAAGTTCGTCAACAAATGGTGCTGTAAACTGAAATAACTTATAATACAAATTAATTTTCAGGAACAACGTTGTTGTTGTAGTTCATTTACGTCGCACTAGAACTGCACAATGGGGTATTGGTGACGGTCTGGGAAACATCCCTGAGGATGATCCGAAGACATGCCATCACAATTTTGATCCTCTGCGGTGAGGATGGCACCCCCGCTTCGGTAGCCCGACGACCTGCACGCGAAGTCGAGCACTTTACGGTAGAACAGTTTAACGAGGACCAATACCGCACACCCTCGGTCCCTACGCAGACTGATCCAAGTGATCACCCACCCGCACACTGACCGCAGCCAGTGATGCTTGACTTCGGTGATCTGCTGGGAACCGTGTCTTAACGATCAGTCCACTGCGGGACATATATTTCAGTTGGAATTGCCTGACATGTATTAGAAAGCATTGTTTCATGAAAGCGTTATCTGGTGATGAACTTTGCAACTAATTATCAATTTTGGTATGATTAAATCATTCATTGTTCTCGAAACAATTCGGGATCACTTTTAGAAAGTCACGTATCAGTATTATTTACTTGCTTTATTGCTTGATTGCAATTACATATATTTGCGCGTTTGTGCGCTCAATTTAGGCTTATGAACCTTTTCAAATAGAAGGACAGATAGAACAATTCAGAAAAAGGCATCACGCAGAACACATCCAGAGTTACGGCGGGATTCGAACCCGCCACCTCCACACTTCGCACAGCGTTTGGTGGGCGATACCGCTCGGTCAGGGCGATCCCTTACTTACTCACTAACTTTATGATTGATAACAGGATGAAATACCGCTGGGAAGCAGAAAAGCAGAAAAAAAATTTTCTTGCTTGTAAGCGTGAACTTCTTGTAATGTATTCGAAGGTATTGTTCGCAGCGTTAGCAGAAGAAGGCGCTATCTGTTGGCAAATTTTGCTACTAATTTTGAATTTTGGAGAGAATAAATCCTTCCATTGTTTCCTACACTATTCTCGCTAAATTTTTCAGGATATCAAGTAACATTAGTGTTTCCCCGCTAATTTTATGATTAAACTAAGTAATTGTCATCTGAATAGTAGAAAAAAAGTTCTTAACAAAACAGTTAACACATTAGGAAATGTATATATAAACTGAAAGACAATGGATGTAACTGTCCTTGTAACTGTCTTGATTGCCTACTTACCGTCCCACGGCACAAATTGAGCCGTAAGACGAACTAGGATTGTTTGTACTACAAGAATAACCAATTTAAAAACTTAATATAACTTAACATGTTTGAGCTCTTTTGATTTTAAATATTTTTTTTTATTTTTAAATTTCTGTAATTTTTCAAGAAACATGGTAAACTGTATATAATCTTCGAGAGAAAAAAATCTTACCTCCTTCAAGACAGTCTAAACTTATCAAATCAACTAGTCCAACTCAGTGAAATACAATTCTATTAACCCTTTCCAGTGCAGAGTAACCAGTATGGCAACACTAATTAAACAAATATTTGAAACCACTAGAAATGCAAAGGTTATTTCTTTTAAACCTACAGCAACCAGTTCTTTAAACAACCAAGAGCTTAAGTATGTCGCTTCACCTAGAATGAACTACTGAAGGTCGTAGTTGCTATAAGTCTCTGCCAGGCTGAAATATTCAATCAAAATTTGCTATTCCAGAAAGGGTTAACAACGTTTCTAAATGTGTAATTTTAATAGCTTTTGGTTGCATAAAGTTTAAAACTAAATTGCACTGTTGTATCACGTGTCTCTAGAATTTATAGAAGAAAAGTGGATACAATGTTTTTTATTAATATTTTTGTAGCTTTCTTTTGCTTGAATTATTAAAAACAAACGAGTCAATCAGGCATTGAATATGAAATGTAAGATTTTCCCACTCCGTTATACATAATCGACTGTTTATATATGATTATCTTTTCCCGCTTTTCAAAGAAGGTGAATAGTTATTTATCTATTCTCTGTTTCTTGGCAACGCATTTATTCTATTGTGGATATGCAATAAGTCTGCCAGAAGAATCAGTTCCACATTAAGGAATATTCTGCTTAGATTCGTAGAGTTTCAAACAATGAATATTTCTGATAAAAAAACGCGATTTATTTTTCTATTTTCTATCAAATATTCCCAAGTACTTCTTATTCCTAATATGTTTTATCATGCAATTATCTAAAACTAATAAATGGTTGGTTCTTCTTTTTTTTTGCGAAACTCAATATGAAATTAAAAGTAAAGTATTTACACTATTGTTGTTTAAATCGCTATCGTTTAAACTTCATGACTTCTAAATTTCCTGAGACAATTCAATGCTGCATTTTACATTTGAAATCATTTTGTTGAGTTGTTGTTGTAGTTCATTTACGTTGCACTAGAGCTGCACAATTGGCAATTGGCGACGGTCTGAGAAACATCCTGAGGATGATCCGAAGACATGCCATCACAATTTTGATCCTCTGCATCAGATCATCCTCAGGTATTTTTCCCAGGCAGTTGACAATAACCCATAGTACAGCTCTAGTCTCTAAATTAGCAACTACAACTTCAACTCAGATGCACCCAGAATTGTGGGGGAAATGGAAATTGCTACTTCCAAGCTTTGAACATTTATCGCAGGAACAATGCTCTTCAGCTGTATCGGTTTAATTTCTGCTATATGTTTTGCAATTTAGTAAAAACTTACATGCTATTCGCCAGTACAATTTTACATATTTATGCATGTCCAAATGAAAAAGAAATTCAGAACGAATATAATTTTTAGAATTTTACTGTTTTTTTTTAAAAATTAACTTTGACCAAAGAATCTTAAATGCTTTATGTTGCAGTGAAGAATTAACTTTATTTTTCCTTATGTAGTTTTAACATGTAAATTCTAAGAATAATCACAAACTTCGAACTGAAACTTTTTTTTAAATCTTATTCTGTAAAAAATAGTTTTGAGGCAACTCCGGCTAAGTACACTACTAAGCAGATTTTTGAGCTGAAACTGTTTCTAAGCTTTTGTTAAGTTGAAAGATATTCTCGAAAAATAGTAGAATACCTCAATCAACACGAAGATTTGAACCTGATACCTCCTACGCTTTAGAGAAATTGGCAGCGGAACAATAGTCTGAGGTTACTCACTCCTCTCACTCTTGCTTTTAGATCTGTGATGGAATCTTATTTTTTTAGTAATTGATGTAGGATAGCTGAACAAACATTCTTTGATTGAATCCCATACTTGACAGTACTATTTTGTGCTATAAGAATTACTCTGTAATAAGACTCACTTTTATCTTCAATGTTTTGATTGTATCGTAGTTTTGGAAATATAGAGAAGAGCTAAAACGACGTCAATTAGTGACTATGAACGCATATTGCGATAGTAGCCTTGTACCTCGCGATTGTGGTACCTCGATGGTACCTATAAAAGGTTCATTTCTTTTGTTTTATTTATTGTTGTACAAACATATACAGTCTTTTATGCTCATTACAAAGACGGACGGGATTCGTATCCCTCTACGCTACAGAGCTTTTTGACGAATTGGAGAGATCATAAGAAGTAAAGAGGGTACTATAAATTGATACTATAAAGCCTCTAAAAACTTTTTTCTCAAAAACTGGAGAAATACAAGCTCTTAATAGCGAATTTAAAAACTAAAAATCAAGACATCACATAATGCAAAAGCGCATCTCTCATTACTTTTTCTATTCATCATCCGTCCCGCAGTGGACTGATCGTTAAGGCAAGGTTCCTGAAGATCACCGAAGTCAAGCATCACTGGCTGCGGTCAGTTTGTGGGTGGGTGACCACTTGGATTAGTCTGCGTAGGGACCGAGTGTGTGCGGTATTGGTCCTCGTTAAACTGTTCTACCGTAAAGTGCTCGACTTCGCGTGCAGGTCGTCGGGCTACCAAAGCGGGAGTGCCATCCCCTCTGAAGATGATCAAAATTGTGGTGGCATGTCTTCGGATCATCCTCAGGGATGTTTCCCAGGCCGTCGTCAATAGCCCATTGTGCAGCTCTAGAGCGACCCTCATTGGCTGAGAGGTCTCGCCGTTCCAAGAAGCACTGTTTAGCATGGAGATATCGAGTTCAAACCCCACCTCAATCCAGAGTGTATCTTTCTGCATTTCGTCTCTTATTTGAGCTATTTGTTCTTTCATTTTGCAAAGGCATCGAAGCAATTCTTTTAATTGCGCATCAATTTTCTTCACCAACTAATTGTTGCACATACTTAAATAGGCTTGAATACGCATTACAAGTTATGAACTTACAAGCCCTTGTCAGTTTGAAAAACACAGCGGCGCAAGTTAGAGAAAGATATTACAAAGAAGCACCTTGGGATACGGTAGACTTTCTACCTCCATGTTATAGAGCATTCGGCGGAACGGCAAAATCGCATCGTCAATGAAGCCTTTAATTGAGAACGCAAGCCTACGTATATATGTGTGAATAAATGAATATATTGTACGCCAGCTTACATCGTCATAATTGTTTGTATATACTCTAGTTTTAGAAGTAAAAGCTCATATTATATCTTATTATTTATGAGAAATTCATAATTCTGATTCTTAATTATTGGTGTTAATGTAAATGCAGTGTAAAGATCGTGCCACATCGCTAAACTTTCATGTTCTTTTTGGTTTCTACTATCAATTCCCTGCTGGGAATCAATTTAGATGTATGCACGACAATCCGATTTCTTCTTTGAAACTCTGCATTGACTTCGCTGAAATTATTCGATCCTGGATTCCTATATACTAAATCCTTATCGAAGAATCAAATAAATGATTTATGAAATCGTAAAAAAGATGCCATTTAAATATTTCGATTTGTTTAAAATTTTGCTCGTTGGTGCATTCTGATCTCTGACACAAAGAGGTGTGCTTAAAACCCATTGCGAGTTCCGAAAAGTAGGCGACGAAAAACAGTTGATAAACAGAATTCATCTTTTAGATTGATCACAGGACTATATTCTGAAATAGTATGCAAAAATACCCTTGGATCTTTTGTCGAACAGGTAATCATTTAAACTCTGTTATTAAGTATATCGTAATGCTGTTTTGTATCTGTCTGTTTTGTAAAGAATTTACTTCTGACCTAGAAAATAACAAATTCTATAATTCTATTCGAATTTAGACGGATCACTATTAAGATAGACAGGCATGAAAACATTGAAACTTGTTTGATTGCTTGGGAAATTTTGAAGGATTTTTTTAAAAATAAAATATACATGACTGGCAGTGTGTCTGGAATATTCTAGACACTCTAACTCTATTTTTCGTCAAAAAAGAAATTATCTTGCTGCGATAAAAAAATAATACAATTTGAGAGTTTTTGAAACAAATGTTTTAGATATGAAACATATACTGTATTTCGCAGTAACTTATGTCTTTGAGGTTAACTAAAACCATTTTTCAGTAATTCCTTGAAGCTGTTTATCGAAACATGGTTTTGAGTTTAATTGCAAACTTTTCAGCAATCACTTATCAAATACGTAATTTATGAAATCGTAAGTTTTGTAGATGTTTTTATCACACACTGTGTATATTTTAAATGTAAGTTTAAAAAGCTTTGTTTATATTATCAAGTTCAGATAGTTCAAAAAGCTTTGCATGTGCATAATTTGTTTCATAACTTCTTATCACCAATCGTATATTTTTAAGTTGAACACCTTATAAACGTCTTTAAACATAATTTTAAAACACTACATTCATGGAAGATTCTTCATTGATTAAATTTTTATCGTGATCAATTCTAACTTTTTCAATTCATTGCTGTTTCCTGTACGTAATATCACGATTTTTTTCACACAACTGTGGATGATCACCTATAGACATTATGAATATTATAGACATAGTTATCTGTAACAATTCGAGGATGTTATATGTTTTTAAATGTGAACTTGGTTATTGAAGTTCAATCATCAAACTAAATATCTAGAAATCTTTATTGTGAATTAAATGCTTAAAACACTAAAAATGCTTAAAAAGATACGTTTAATTTTAATAATATTTTGAGTTGCATATCTACACTATTTTTTTTCTTTTTTAGTTTTTATTGTCCCTGCACCAAATTTCATATACTAAGTATGCTGACTTTATTATATAAAATTAATCTTACATGAAAGTGGGTAACATACAGGTTTTATTTTTTACGATTTCACACATTTTGTGTAAAATAAATTATTCAGTCAAGTAAATTGCAAAAAAAAAATTTTAATAAATTAGATGGAAATCTTTCATAGATTTTAATTAAAGATTGAAATATATGCACAATAATTAATTATAGCGTGCATAAGTGCACAAAATTTGATTGCTAATTCCTTTCATAGTTCAATAACCATGCACAGCTATAGATAGGAATTTCACTTTAGTTACAGTAAATGGTCGAAGTTCAAAAGCGAAAGTGGTTGAAAAGTGCCATATTTAATTATGTCTAATGAACCGCGTAATAACTTTTAGACGTATAATTAATCCATCCTAATGAAATTATTTTAAACGTTATGACGGTGATTTTCCAGAAATTAGTTTTACGAATATAAAGTTTTGAAGATATCTGTATTAATTGAGCATTGTTGTACGTACTTTTGATATTTGTACCTGATAATAATTCGTTTCTGCCATAAAAATAATATCAAGTCAGGATTCGATTTTATCAAGATATTTTCTTTATAAAAATTGAAAAAATTTTGCAAAATATAGAATCTATATTTTTTTAATAAAAGGAAAGTACGAAATGTGTTAGCTCAAACACACACTTTTAATAATAATAAGATTAAATTATGATTTAAAAATAATTATGCCACACTGTAAGACTTAGGTAATTGCATGAATGTGGCTTGATATGGGCGTTGCTATTTGAATAAAAAAATCTTTTTTATTTACAGAGTGGATATCTGCACTGTAGAAAGGGCGTTTTGATTTTGAGAAAAGAAAATTATTTTAATTATAATAATTGTAATAAATTCGTTCTCTATCAGTGAGAAATATTAAGAAAAATTTTTTTAATAGACCAGTCACTAGACAAAAAGCAAATTTTTTTCCTGATTTTCCACACTTGTAGGAAAAAAAAAAAGAAAGTAACTAATTTTAGTTTTCTCAAAATAAGTTATCGGACATGTCTACAAAGCAGAGATTCAGTTTCAAAGTTATCATAGCGTTTGTTTCTAATGTTGAACATGTACACATAGCTGTGACAATTTGATATTTAAGAGCAGTAATGGAAGCCTATGTTATGTTCTGCAAATATTGCTATTACAAGTACATTTAAACTTTTAAAAGTAATAAAATTATGTATACGTGGTATATAGTCATTGGAATTTTAGAAAAGCTTAGGTGGGACGGGGTGGAAATATCTTTGTATATAGTTGCAATAGCCAGTCAGTCGTTGTGGTGAATAAAGTCTCCTCTGACTATAGTTTGGGCCAGGGTATGTGGTTCCCGTGCTGAAAGGTTATGTCGGGCTGCGCTTTTTCATTCTAATATACTCTTCACAATGGTTTCACAGACTACTAAGTCCATGCTTGATTGAGTGGCTGTTGAGCTTGAAGCTGATGCTTGGTGATTACTACTTTCCTTTTTATAATGCGGTTGTAGTATATTAGCATTTGGTGCACTAGCATTGTCTTCGGATTTGAAGGAAGCGTTGGTTTCGTTGACAATGGCTCGTTGGTGTAGTTATATTGGGATATTATCATACAAACAATTGCAGAACGAGAGTTCTTCTTCGTCAGCACTACAACCTAGCGCAGGCCAAGACTTTCTCAATTAGCGGCCTTTGAGCTAGATTTTTCCACCTGTTTATTCCCAACAATTTTAAGTCCTTCTCAACACTGTCCAACCATCTTGTAGCTGGTCTCTCTCTTCTTCTAGTTCCTTCAATTTTCAAAAAAGTAAGTTTTTTAACTAGGCCCAAATCTTCACGCCGAAAAACGTGCCCTAGCCATCTGATCCTGTAGGCCTTAACAACCTTCAAAATATTGGGTAATCTTATTTATTGTATATCTCAGAATATTGTATATATCAGAACGAGAGTTAGTTCTTGTTGATACCGTTTCAACTTTTTTATATATTCGTGAAAAGGTTTATTATAATAACTCATACTCAAGACAAATATACTTGTTTAGATAACTTGCAAAAAGTTATGGAAGAATAAATAAGCTCTTATTCTAAAACGTTTCATTTCGAATATATTTAGAGTTTTCTTTAATACATTAATGAAGGAACCCCTAACCGTTAAAAGTAATTATTTTTAAATATGAAAGGGAAGTTCTTTGTTTTCTTTTCGATCATAAAAGAAAGAATCTTAAAGACGTAGCTTTGATATGTTTATTTTTTTAGAGGCTTTAGCTTAACTTTCTCCTACACACCCATTCAAAACAATTTATTTCCATGATAAATTTAGTGAAAGTTTTATGAAGCTGAAATTGAACAGTAATAACTCTATTTAAACTGCTTATTTTCAACTTAAACAAACAACCCTAGAACTGGTCACGCTGTTCTCATACTTTCATCTCTTTTGGTGGACTCCAGAGATTAGATCGTCAAAACATGCATCTCACCATTATCAATCAAACCTTAAAGGTAATCCTGACTGATTACGCTGCCCATTTATGAAAATAAAATTACGGCCATAATCTGAAAAGTGTAGTTTTAGCTGAAGGTTAGATATGCCGGATAAGTTTTGAATAAAAGTATTTCCTAGTCATTATTTATTTCTTCACCCAGAAAATGCATGAGTTTATATCATACTGTTTATAATAAACGAAATTTTTAAAACAACAATGATCATGATAGTTGTTGTTTTAAGGGGTAGCCCATAAATGATAGAGCTTGGAGAGACAGGAGAGGTACTTAAATTTCTGACAGGGGTACTGAAAAGTATGACCTCGCACATTTTGGTTAAAATTAAAACATTTAATATCAGCAGATTAAATATATTATCTTTATTCATATTTTGTTCTAAATCAAAATAAGTATTTATTTAACCATTGTTGTTACGCACTTAAATGTCGTTAAAACACATAGTTCAAGTTTAAAAACTAACCGACCTGGTGGCCGAGTGGTTAGCGTGCCTGACTGCGGAGCCGCTGGTCGCGGGTTCGAATCCTGCTCAGGACATGGATGTTTCTTTCTCTCTCTGTGGTCTATGTCCTTTCTCGATTGTGTGAATGTTACCCACCCTATAAACGGGTTTGTGGTTGTGTGACGTGGGCGAGGCTGTTCCACCGTCGTGGCCTCGCCACAGGTGCCCACTGGGTAACGAGAAGAGAGTAGCAGTTCTGGCATATCTGTGGCCAATGGGACAACCATCAAGTGTCAGCCATTAAAAAAAGTTTAAGAACTAATTTTGAAACATGATCTATAACAAGTGTTTTCCTTTTAAGCTGCTAGTAGTGTATGTTTATGTAATGTCACATGGTATTTGAAAAAGGGTGAAGTGGCACTTTGTGATATGACAAAAGAATGGAGGAGATAAAATTAAAAAAAAGGCGAGATATAATTCATGCACGATTAAAATGGAATAGTTTTTTTTCTTGAAAAAAGAAAGAAAACTGACTTTACACTGTAAGAAGTGGCATACACAGAGGGGGAGAAGGAGGCAACGTCTCCAGGCATATAGCCAACGGGGTATCTGAACGAATAATAAATATCTAAACTTTAAAACTGTTACTAGATATCAGATATAAATTTTATTAGGAAATTACTTATTAGGTAATTAGTAAGTGAATAAATACTTATTGGTTTAAGAAAAGCTGACCAGACTATGTAGTGGTCAGGGAGATAACCTCGCATCAGAAAGGTTCTCAATTAGCATAAATGCTTTTTTTTTATTCTCTGTATTGTCTGTCTTTAGTGTGGGAGTAACGTTGGCCCATCTAATATGCTGCTAATAATTGAATGCTGCTATAATACCTGCTATAATGCTGCTATAATAAACTGCTAATAATTGAATGACGATTGTCAATCGGGAAGAAAAAAATGGTCTTAGAGAAATATTTCTCAATGAAGAATGAAA